GTGCGGCTGAGGCCCAAACGACTCATTTGCACGTTGGGCGGCCTTCTGACCTTGCATAGAACCAAGACGTAAAGTCTTTATATCAGGCCGGCGCCAACCCCTCAACCAGTCCGCCTCGGCCTCCATGGATCTGATTCCAGACCTCTCAGAAATGCAAGCAAGAGCTTGCCCTATAGACTTCGACGCACCACCGGCAAAAGCCTGGTAGGCAAGCAAGTCTGGGCCGCAGCTGCACTGGAAATCAAGCCGAAAGGCGGCATGGAAAGGCTTGCAGACTGCACCATGCGCCCACGAAGACAAGCCACCAAAGTCTGCAGAGATGTCACCGCGCTCTTTTCTGCACCAGCTCCACGCAGATCAACCCCGCTCCACTCCAGACTCACCTGTTGAATAACCACACTTCTTGTAGCAAGTAGAACTGCTAAAATGATGTATATCAGTCACCAGTGACGTGACGTGTTAATGCGAGACAATGTATGCTTCGCCCGAACACTCGAGACACTTCCGGGTTCAGGCAGCAACTTCTTCTGCGGCAGGCACTGTGTCCTCAGAGAGACCAAGGTCAGATATGTGTTCCGACACTGACATGACTGTGAACTTTAGCTGGTCTCGTCATTTGTCTTTTCGATGCTGCTGCGCTCCAAAGTTTACTTTCCGCTCGTAGTCTATGCCGTTGCATCATCGATCTTCCGTTGCAGTCGCGTAGCAGCAAGGAAACAGCACAAGACCGGAGCTCTTCTTTCTGGCGAACTTTGGGAGACTTGGGCCATTTACGGCATACACGCCTCGGCTAATACAGACTGTCCTTGTAGTTTTCGATATCTTCGTGAGGTCAGTGGCAGTGGCAGAGGATGTTCGGAAACTATGTTTACGGTAAAGGTCGTGCAACCTGGCAAACGTCATTCTCAGCCACGCTAGCATTCAACCGCGAACCCTTAAAACCAAGATCTGCAAATGCTGACTTTTGCACTTTCTGTGTGGAACGAAGAAGTGAATCACACTGATCACACTGGCTGCCGGAGTATCGCATCTAGGAATCTATGAATTCTGGGCTGCACCGATGAATGTCCACACCCCTCTGAGGAAGTCTCATCTAGGATTCCTGGGTCATTTCTGTGCCTCTGCCTGCTGCCTGCTGTGCTGTTGTGATAGAGGTGTCACAAGCTGGGTGCCGTGGCATGAGGAAGTTCTCCGCGTGCTTCCAAAATCTTCTGCCGCCTTCGCTGGCGCTTGGACAAAGGCACCTGCAAGCATGTACCCCAACACCCGAAGCACTCGTTTGATCTCGTACCGCCCTATCCTCTCTGCTCTGCCTCAATCCCATCATCGGTTCCTTGTCTTTTGATGCCATCCTGTTTGACAAACCAGCCACACATCAGCAGGCTTGCATGCAGGAGCTAGAGCATGAGCATGCCTGCTGATCTGCATCTGCCATCCTTGGCCACAGGGACGATCCGACAAGTAACGGTGAATGCAAGACGAAACGAGAAGACTGTTCCTCAGGCTCGCGCGGCGCGTCATTTGCGCCCACTTGTTCAGCATTGTCTGTCTCGTTTTTGCTGGCATCCTTGTTCGAGGCCGCACCATCAGACTCACAATGAACTCTCAAAGCCGGAAAACGTGTCCTTGCCAGCAGCATCCTCCTCGCACAACAGTGGGGTTTTGACCGAATCTTCTCTGACACATCGAGCTCAACAGACCGGAGGCCACCTCATCCTCCACGATCCTGTACGAGCCATCCTGCATTCAGTAGCATTCACACTCCCGTGCCGTGTCACTGCTGACGAGCCTTCTCAATGATGACCTCTTCAACATGAGCTGGCGTCTCAGACAAGACCTTCTGCACGTACTTGTCTACCTCAAGAAGGCTAGCGGCGCTAGTGATTTGGTGTGGATGCAACATCATGCAATCTGCTTCAAGAGTCAACGACTTCGAAACCAGGTCTTCTCTTCAGTGACGCAACAAACTCCTCACTGGTCGAGGATCGAGGACTGATGCCTCCGACCCTGCGAATTTGGGTCACGAAGCTCAGGGCTTGTATGGCCCTTTCCAACTTGGCAACTTTTGCTGGCGCTGTTGGGCCTCCTTTCCGCACGACTGCAAAGTTAGAGAGGACTTCACATGCCGTCAACAACTCACGTTTGGAATTCCGAAGCAGACGCTAAGGATGTGCGGGTTGGAAGCAAGACATGCACACGCATACTAAACCTACAGCATGTTACGTTTTGCACATCAGGCTGACGATAATCTCGTGCGCTTCGTATCTGCCCAAGCCATCTTGCAGCTTGCAAGTCTTACAACTACGGCTCTTCGACACTCTGCAAGAGGCGCACGAGAGCAACCCGAACCACTCCACTCGACAGTTGCGAAGCAGAGCTTGTCGTAGCCAAAGAAGTTCGTCGTTCACACACTGGGTATCAGCGAGGTGGACTGAACCAAGAGCTTGTTGCCGAATCTCTTCTTAGTCTGACTCCTGACAACCATCGCACCATAGTCCGAACCCAAGAAACAACATGTCTGAAACTATGTTATTCAATGACAACTCATCCTTTGCCTCGTCAGATTCGGAGTGATCCGACTCTTCCGACTCGTCATCTCCTGCGGATGTATAGAGTTGCAGCGGTCAACGGCATCGACCCTGCGTCTGCACATGTGCTCACAACTCCTTCCAGCGAGGCAATAACCCCATCCACAGAAAAGTCTGCAGACACCGGATTGGGTGTGTAGATGTCGCCCTGGACGGTCACGCCAGAGGATTCGACCAGAGCTTTGAATATCCCTTAGTGCAAAGGAGTGCCAAGCTCCCAGAAATGAAAAAGTGTCACTCTGCTGCTTGCCAAGAAACTATTGAGCAAACTGATTGACACAGGCTTCGTCGCTGTCACGAATCTTTCTATTCGATTGTAGGTCCCAGGGATTCGTGTCTTGGTGAGCATGTACAGGGCAGCATCCGAAAACGTATTGCCTAAGCGTGCCGGCGACAGTACGTCAGACTCTCGTCCAGCAAAAATGCACTCATTAACGTCAAGCAGGCTACAGTTCTTGTAGAACACGTCATAAGAGCCTTCGAGCAGGTTCGCATGAAGAGGTGTTTTCCAAGCTGGGGCCTACACAATCGGCAGTAAATGCAAGCCTCGTTCGAAGAACTCATGCAGCGCTTCCACCATCGCTCTGCCGTCGAAGTGGCTGTAACCGATGAAGGTGACGACCGTCTTACTGCCACCAGGATTCTTGGCTTCGTTGAGGTTGTGGCTGAAGAGAGGAGCGGCTTGTAAGATACCTATCGCATCGAAGAAGTACTCCAGGTTGTCCACAATGACAGAAGTGTGGTACCCGGACATGCCTGCCACACGGATGATCTCCTTGGGCTGACGTGTCCATGTACGGCGCAACAGCAATATGTTTTGCTACGCTTGCCCAGGTGCCGTAGCTGCCAGGCTTACTTCATGACACGCCCCGTCATCCTTTGCAGAAGGCACAACACGTCACAGTGATCTGCTGCCCTCTTGTGACATTTCAGCGATCGCAGGTCCTGCTGGCCCGGCAGGGTTGTACTGGCACTTGCACCCATGGCGCACAGCCCTGCTTGGCGGTACTCCTGACAAACCCTGCAGCGGCATGTCTCTATACTACGGTATTTAGTAGCTGGCATGCTTGGAACAAGAACAATCAAATGCTTGAGGTTGCAGTACATGCACGTATCTTTCGCATCTCCTCTACACTCGTCAAGCAGCTGAAATCGCAGGAACCAAGGGTGCGAGTGCAGTGTAAAAATAATGACTGACGCTTTGAGCATCCGACTACAAGGTCGTGCGGCTTTAGAATGTTGCTGCAGACAGGGCAGGTCCACCTGCATCGAGAATGCTCTGCACTCCAGAGTCTTCCAAAACTTGAGGCCGGCCTGTTGTTCAAAGCCCTCATCTTCATGTTCGATTCCAGGTATGCACCCAAGCCGAAGCATTGCAAATGCCTGGCTGACGTGTGTCGGCCCAGAGCCAGGTGAGTGTCTGTGGAAAACTCTGCGAAGGCATGCTATCATTCCTGCCAAACCAGCACTCCATTGCTGCATCACCCCACGACTTCATCTCTTTCAGCGCACACGGAGAGTCTAGCATCACGGGGCGCTACTACCCGTGAAATGCATCACTCTGGGGGCTCCGTGAGCCGGTCAAGCTCCCACGGTGCCTTTGTGTGCCCAACCCAAGCAACAAAAAACTCTGCGTATGCCCGTGACCAAGATCTACCAAGCCGCGACTGTAGATGGTGATGAGAGCAACCAGCACACCCAACAGGATCAGAGATCCCTTGGTGCTGCCAGTCTTCTTCTTTCACATGTACCACAGTAGTATGACCAGGGTGTGAAAAGAACTCTAGACCGGACAGAGCAGGTCCAATTAGATAAAATCTGGATGCTTCATGCATGCAAGCCTCAATCACTGCCCAATCGCTTGGGTAAAGTCCAACTTTGTCTTCAGCGGCGCTGCTGTTTGAAGACACATTCATGGCGGGATGAATCTCAGTCGATGTTGACACAGATACTTTCGTCGAGGTGGCCTGGATGGATGTTGTTGATGTCGTAGTCATGGATGTCTTTGACGTCTCGTTTTCGGACCGAGTTATGTTGCCTGAAGGAACGACAACGATGATTTTGCTTGGCCCCTCAGTCGCCACGGTAGTTGTGACCGTGGTAGTTGTGAAAGTCACCGTTCCGCCAATGCGATCCTTGTCGAGGCGACACCAGTGAGCACGCAGCACATTTCTATGGCTCACTTGCGTGATATGCGCAGGGAATACATTATTTTGTCATTATCGCACTTTATTGAAGAGCAGCCGATGCATCCAGGACCTGAACCAGCCTGGCATCGGCCATTTCCTTGTGGAGAACAAACATCCCAGCAACTCTAGACAAGTACCAGAATAGCTCCAAAAGAATATTTGCTGACGCCAAGAGTCTCTCAAGATTGAACTCCGAAGCAACTCTTGGATCCTCGCCGGCCACATACGAACACGAACTCATCGGCCATTAAGGATGACTTGCCAACCATGTAATCCAAGGCACTTGGTAACATTCCCGGTTTGATCTTTCAATGCCTGCCAAGATTGCAGAACACTCGCGGCTGATTCCGGGTGGTCATGCCATACGATGGACACGTGTCGAAGAAACTGCACACCCTGCGGACTAACCCTAACAGATGGCATTGCCCGTTTAGCAATATGAACGCCAAATGACATGAAATGCAAGGACATGTTTCGGCTTCGAAACCCACACACGTGGTCGCCACAAACGTGTGGACGAGCATAAACAGGGAAGAACACCAGTCAAACAAGGAGAACACGGCAAGCGGGTGCATTTTACACCGTTGTCGGGACGCTGCTGCGGCTTTCGAGTGGATTGAAATATTATGGTGCCGAAGGCGGTTCAAGCATAAACTAGCGAACAAACGAAAACAGGACAACTGACAAAGTGGCACGACAAAGGACCAAGCCTTCACCGCTCTGCTGCTACTTTGTGAAGAATCAGATGGCGAAGAAGCAGAATCCTCATATTCATATTCTGAACTCATCGGCCTTAGCAAACACCGTACCGCGGCGCTGGCGGTGAGAAGGCCCATTAACGTGCTCGGGCGTTTGACCAAATCTCGCTGCACATCCGCCGTTAGATCGCAGCGACGATTGCTGCAAAGTCCTTTCCTTGCATGGTTTTACTGCTCGGTTTGCTCACTGCCCCGACCCCAACGGGTCTTTGTCCGGCAAGACCACTGAGGCGAGATCCAACATCTTGCTTTATGTCGCTCGCCAACCGTTCACAGACACACGCGATCACTGGCTCACAAACTTGGCCATGATGCTCTTTGCTAACTTGCGTGTAGCCAGAATTGCAACCGCCAAGGGTCGAGAGCTGGGCAGACAGCTTTCTCGCAGCCGATTAAAGCACCTGTCAGGCTCTCGCACGAGCACAAGTTTCGCTGTCAGCCGCCACACTGGCTTGCGGCCGCGCTGAGTCTTCTGGATGCGGGTTGGAGCTGTACATGCTCCACACTGATCGTCGGAGGGGGTCGGGTGCACAGGAAGCTCCCTTCAAAGGAAAGCCGAAGCGGAGGGAAGAGGACGATCTTGAAGTGACGTGGCCCTGGAGCCAGGGGCTTTGCTCGCTCCGATGAGCGGGGGCAGACTGGCAGGCCGGGCAGGAGGGCGCGAAGGTTCCGACAACATCGTCTTCACGGGGAATTGCTCCCGGCAGGTGGGTCTACCCCTGCTCAGAGGTTGGGCCCGGCCCTGGCTTGCGGCATTGCATGGCATTGCTTCGTGTGTCCGATGTCCATTTGCATCGTCATGAACTACCGAGGCGAGCGGAGTGGATACCGCTGGATGCGGCGAGGTGACTATCAGAGTCGTCTTCGAGCAAAATGCAAGAAACTTTGGCCGCAGAGGCGGAAAAGGCCATGACCGCATTGCACATGGAAAGAAGGGCTCAAGCGGTGAAGGCATCTCGCATTTGGCAACGTGCGATGGAAGCCGTGCTGCTACGACACGGGTGCAAAGCAGAAAGCATCATCATGAAACACTTCCCTTCGGCTTGAATGATGCTTGCCGAACGTTGCCTTCTCGTACTCTGCTTTGTGTTGGATGATCTCCTGATCCAACTTGCGGACAGCCTGACATGGAACAGAGCACAGGGGGCAGGCCGCGCAGCTGTCCCGGGCTGCGCCTCTGTTAGCTTTGCAACCTCCAAAGCTGTCTTTGCGCCGACTTTCCTAGCGACAGTCTTGGAATTCGAGAAGAGCCACGACAAGATGAAAGTTAGGCTCCGGCGCATGTTCTGCTAAAGGATCGCTCAGGCGCATGGCCTGCATGAGAACTCTGCGAGGATCTCACAGCCCTGGAGATTTGGGAGACGGGAGCCTCTTCAAGGGGAAGGTTCTTATCAAGGAGCATCTCAGACTTGATCCTTAGCCAACAAGAATGAAACAAGACGACGTGAGAACAAGCAGCTGCACAACTAACCCAAGCTGCCAGCGTTACTCCCAGCAGCTTATGGATCCACTCCAAGTCAGCTTCTTTACTGTCCTGTTCAGGGAGCTTGGCAAAACAGGAGCCTGCATCTTACTAGGCATTGCAGGTACAATGACGTGTCGCATCATCCGGGACTGCACCTTGGCCGACAACACCTGGGCCGTGGCGTGCTCGCGACGGAGGATCAAGCACGAATAAGGCTTGACATTCAGCGGCGCCTGGTGCTTGGCAGCTTCCACCCTGAATAGGGCTTTCTCGAAATCCGTTGCAAGAACCTGTCACAGCAAAAAATGATGACAAGCCACTTAAGCCACACACATATAGCCTGACCTGTGCATCTGCCAGTTCTTGCTGGCTTTGGTTGAGGTCATGGCGAAGCTGTGAGAAGTTACCTCGCAGCTGAAATCTGACAGCAGCCATGTGCATTGTGCTATTGCTTTCCTTCCAAGACGCGTCTGTCCACTACCAGGTGCTCTTCCGAGGTGGAATTCCCGTCGCCAGTCTGAGCGTTGCTGCTGACCTTCTCGGATGCTTTTGCCTTGATTTTCTCGATGATGTTTGCAAGCGGATTTAATTTGGACTTGATGGTATCGATAATGCCAGTCTCCTCAGGAGTCACCACTTCGACTCCATCAACAGACTGCACAGCGCGTAATCGAAGCACAGGTACTTCGTTTTCCAACGGGGAGTCCAGTGACAGCTGCATTTGGAGGAAGTTGGAATCCTTGGTAGTGCTGCGTTCCTTTTTGGACGACAGCTCTACCCCAGGATGAGATCCATGGCAAGTTGCGTGGACTTGCCCATTGGAGCACTCGCTGGAGAAGCACTCCTCTTCCACGCCTCCAGCCGCCACCAGCCATAGACCGATGCCAGCGCATCCTCAGTATGTCATCCGTGGCTTGAAAAGGCACACAAGAAAATGCACGAACACTCCGAAGCCTGTCGTCCAAAGCATTAAAAACATAGACATGTGATGGCCAAAGTGAAGCGAGAAGCTCCGTAGCGCCATGCTGCTAGCCGCTTAGAAGTTCCACTGAGAGCTGTGCCAATCTCTTGAGAGGACCACTTGTTTAAAGTCTGGAGTTGGCTGGAGCAGAGTCTCTGCGTACTGGCATAACTCGTTCGGCACAACTCGTTCCGGTTCGGTAATGTGTAGAGCTTGAGCCGTAGGATAGGAGCAGGCAGCGTCCTCAGCGACAGTAACCAAACTCGTTTCAAGCGAGCTCTCGGGAGCGTAACCACGGTGCCGGGCTGACATGCAGGTCTCCCCCCTCACAGGGATGTCCACCTAAGAGCAGCGAGCAAGAGCGACAGCAAGAGGGGAAGCACAGCTCTGCGTCTTTGGCTCCGGGCTCTCTCGAAGGAAAGCGGACAGCGAAGCCTCAGCTTGTTGGAGAGCACGCAGGTGACCTCAGCGGACGGCTCCAGGCTCAAACCTCCAAAATGCCCAGTCCTTTCTCCCTCCGGGCTGTGCCTCCTCATCCTCCTCGTCCAGCTTTGGAGCATCGGGCTGCGGAGGCGCTTCTGGTTCTTCCTCCGGAGGAGGTTCGGGCTTCGGCCCAAGATCGAACTCCTCCATCGTGATGCCCCTTGGAGGTTAGAGCCGTGCATCTCATGCCCTGCTGCAGACAGCTTTGCCGAGCACGAGGCCAAGTGTCTTTCAACAGCATCCGAACCCTTCGCAAAGCATCCTCCTTGCAACAACAGTCGCGATTGATTTTGGAAAGGGAGTTGAATTGATCTCGAAGAAGCGTTCTGCAGACCTTGCGACAACTTTCAGTTCGAACGGATCACTCCGTGATGCAAACCGGATCGGCCGCCCCGAACACGCAACCACGTATCACCTAAACCCTAAACCCTAAAGTAGTCTAGCCTTGGGCTCTGAACGGCCGTGAACCCGATCTGTTCATCTGTTGACGACAATTTTCGATACGTGCAAACGGGAGGGTGAAATCCATTACACGACACCGTTTCATGCCCAGCCCCCTCAAACCCGATAACTGCAGCAGCGGGTGAGGGCCATTCCTTCAGGGGGATGAGTGCCGCCACATTCTCAGCGCGCGGTCGCGCAAGCTGCCGAGACCCGAATTTGCGGCAAGGAACTTGCTGTACATGGCCACAGTCGGCGCTCAGAATTCTGCAGCCAGAAGAGCACCGCAGCATGACAACAGCGAGCAGCAGTCGAAAACGAACGATGCATGAATCAAACTTTTCGATGACAAAGAGCTGCCGCGAAGACGTTGACTCCAAAGGTAAAAAGCTGACCCCCAACTGCGGGATACCCATGCAGGTACAAAGGCCTGTCACGAAAAAGCTGATCGCAAAGAAGAGATACGAATACGATGACAAACCTGATGCGAAGTAGTTGCCTTCGTCAAGAAGCTCTGCTGCGAAATAGTTGACCGTCCAACAGTGACAATACGCGCGCAGCGGCAGAGCGCCGCCACTAAGTTGCTTCCAATGAATGTCAACTCCAACCTAGAATAATCTTGATAGATGAAGGAATCTCGACACGAAACATTACAAGCTGAAGGTTAACTCCAACTTCCATACCAAGTTCACATTAAACCCAAACTGTAATCCGACTGAGGGTTAAACTTTTGCGCGAACAAGTGTACTCAGGGTTTTTCGTGCAACAGTGAGCCCGTCACATCTCCAAACCGAACAGCAACTTCCAACCGCCAAGTCAATCGTTCGAAGATGTTTGGAACAATTAAAAGGAAGCTCCATTCAGTCTGAGTCCTGGTACATGAAGATCACTCAACCGAGACACATCGAGTCAAGGCTGATCCACTTTTGCTCCCAAAGAACTTGCCAAAGAACTTGGTAAAAACAAAATACAACAAAGGCATGTCGGGCACGAAAATGTAACATCCCATGTTGGCTTCTGGGTTCGGTACGCAGTGTCCGGTGTCCTGTAGTCTGCGTCTTGCGCCCTGTATGCTCTGTATGTTGTGTCCTGCGGCCTGCGTTCTCTGGTATGCTAGAGTGTTTAAAATTACGGCCTTTCCACAACAAATCTGACTGTTGACAGAAAGGTGCTTAAGCATTTTGTTGTTCCGTTTTGTGGAGGCGCTTTTTGGGCTTTAGCCTTAGCACAATGACACGATTCCATGCCGCAAGAAGAATGATAGCGAGGCAACGCTAGAAAATGGACAGGAATGACATCAGGAAGTGTCACCAATGAGAGCAACAAATTTAAAGCAAAAACAGCCCTGACAAAAATCGAGAATGCGTCTCGACCCGTTGACTCTTGCTATAGTCAGTCTCCTCCTCGCATGCCGGCGTCTCATCCGCAATCAGTGCCGCGGTTTTCGGCTGGGTGTGCACCTCAGGTCAAACCATTCCACGCAGGACGGAAGCATAGACTTACAAGCGTGGCGGGGGCGCCAGGGCCACAGCGAAACTCGAGGGATGCTCATCTTCGATGGTGATCGTAACATCTTAGGCAAACGGCCCAATGGCAAACGTCTAGAGGCTAGCAGATCGAGGTTCCTCTTGTGCAGACACGGAGCTGTTCATGCCTGGTCTCAATGCGGCAGAGACGTCTTTGGGGACCTTGCCAGCCAGTCGACTCCATGTATCAAACGAAAAAGCCTCGTCAGCATCTCTCCAGGCTGGGCCGGAGGACGGGGCGCAATTAATGCTTTTCCCGAGCCTGATAGCTAGAACCAAGCAAGCTGGCGAGATGAGACGAAGAACCACCCTGATGCAAATGGCCCCTGCTGAAATTACCTGATGGCAGGCTTCCTTCGTCCAGCTTGTGTCATGGCATGTTGTGCTCATGCTGCCCTGGCTCACCTGCCTTGACAGCAGATGGCGATGTCCTGATGTGTCCACATTCCACAACAATCTGGCAGTATCCAGGCTCTAGCATCCTTACCCGGGGCAGTGGATATTGAATCCTGGACATGTCAGCTGCATTGCTCCCGTTTGATCCTCAGAGTAGCCTTGACGAGCTCGAGTCCGCCAGTCCTTACAAAGTCTCATGATGCTCCGTCTCCAGCGCGCTGCCTGATGACTGCCACTGCACGGGCTTGAGGTGCCAAGTATGCTCCGCATGCCAACTCAGACAACGGCTTCTCCCGTGCATGGCTTGATGACAGGCTCAACCCGAACAGGATGGAACCAGGTGCTCTTAACTCGCTTCTCGCCCCCAGCGTCAATTAATCATTTCTGTCGGAGAGACCTGCGCCCCCTCCAACTGCACGCACACGCAGCTTGCCCGGGAATAAATTGTTGTCTCATAGCTAACCAACAGCAACTTATACACAGGGCCCGGGGGGTAAGGATTCGTCAAAGGGATCCCAAGGAACCATTTTCGTCGAGCTCGAATCCACGGTGCAACTTGTCGCCAAACATCCTCCATCAATCAGGGCAGGTTTGTGGAAAACTCTGCCGCGAAACGTCTGCAGCGGCACTCTCGCGAAGCAGAAGTAGCTTCGAGCAGGACGAACATAAGTTGGTGTATTCTGTTGCTTGTGTCGAACCCAACTCCAAGTCTCTGGCATCTCTTCGAACGTGCCCTTCTTCGGGAGGATCTATTCTAAAGACCTGCCGACAAGCTTGCTGAATGCTCGAACCTCAAGAGAGATTATGCCAGAAATGCCAGACATAGTATGGGAATAAAGGGAATGGATGAGAAAGCGCGGTGAAACAAAACACAATTGCGGTGAGTGACAAGTGTCGCTAAGCGCCTTGATCGATCTGGCAAGTTGCCCAACAGTGATACGGTGAGAGGCCAATAGCATCAGAGTGTTCTTTGCAAGCATGCCTTCATCGTGGTGTGCTGCCACACATGCTCATGATCGCAAACAATGGGCTCCAGCACGGATTCGTAAAATTCAACTAAACACTCGTCGCGATTGATCAGCCCTTTGTCTCATTTTTGGTGATTCCGGTGGAAAAGTTGGTGCCTTTACTGGGGGGCACTCTTGGAATTCTTTAGATCATTACGTTGTTCAGCGGTCTCTTGGTCTGCGCGCCGGTGTAATGGAGCAGCTGCAAGTCGGCCACCAAGCTTGCAGAACTCGAACCAGTACCGGAAAAAGCGACCAAGGCCAAGGCTGCCAAGGCTTCAAGGGGGTCATCCCTCACGCCTGAATCTGATTGAATCTGTCGAAGATCACGAGCAAAGCAGACGATACGTTGCACAAGCAGGGACGAATTTCTCACGTGTCCGGTTCGGGTGATTCGGTACCGATTGCGATGATTTTATTGCACTTCGCGCATGTGATCTCACACAGATGTGTGCTTCAAAAACAGCGGCTTCGTGGTCAAGGCTTCGGTTTGTGGTGTGTGTGGTGTGTGTGGTGTGTGTGGTGTGTGTGGTGTGTGTGGTGTGTGTGGTGTGTGTGGTGTGTGTGGTGTGTGTGGTGTGTGTGTGTGTGGTGTGTGTGGTGTGTGTGGTGTGTGTGGTGTGTGTGGTGTGTGTGGTGTGTGTGGTGTGTGTGGTGTGTGTGGTGTGTGTGGTGTGTGTGGTGTGTGTGGTGTGTGTGGTGTGTGTGGTGTGTGTGGTGTGTGTGGTGTGTGTGGTGTGTGTGTGGTGTGTGTGGTGTGTGTGGTGTGTGTGTGTGTGTGTGGTGTGTGTGGTGTGTGTGGTGTGTGTGGGTGTGTGTGTGTGTGTGTGGGTGTGTGTGTGTGTGTGTGTGTGTGTGTGTGTGTGTGTGTGTGTGTGTGTGTGTGTGTGTGTGTGTGTGTGTGTGTGTGTGTGTGTGTGTGTGTGTGTGTGTGTGTGTGTGTGTGTGTGTGTGTGTGTGTGTGTGTGTGTGTGTGTGTGTGTGTGTGTGTGTGTGTGTGTGTGTGTGTGTGTGTGTGTGTGTGTGTGTGTGTGTGTGTGTGTGTGTGTGTGTGTGTGTGTGTGTGTGTGTGTGTGTGTGTGTGTGTGTGTGTGTGTGTGTGTGTGTGTGTGTGTGTGAACCTCCCTAGCACATGGGAGCAGAGGGTCACTCCTACACTGTTTGCAATTTTTGCTTTTCAACTTAATCAGACATTGGACATTTACCAAATCAACTGTTGCAGGGGAGTGTGGCACTTGCGTCCTACCACACTCAACGAAGCTGTGGATGCAAGTGGGAAGCGGGACCTGATCAGTCCTGTGTACCTGCACAAAATTGAGCTGGGGCCCCTGTGCCAGCCCGATTAGAAGGCCCCTGTGCCAAGATTAGAGAGTTTTCAGTTGCCACTTTTGGCGGTTGATTCGACAACAAACAAGTTGTACGGTTGCCACAATCTGACAAGCTTTTGCAACATGAACAACATGCCTCTCTTTTTCCTCTTGCACTCGTACTCTTGGCCGAATCCATCAGTGTGATCAGCGTGGGTCGATGAGACTCCAGAGCAACGGCTTTCCGTCATGGCGCCGTGGTGACCCTCCGGGGAGACCGGTGATGAACCGGGTGTTCAGCCTTCGTTCAGATCGTTCAGATTCTCCAGATGCTACTTTATCTCTCTCTCTCTGATGCTCGCATGTGAGTCTGACATGAGTGCAGGTGCAGTAAGGGACGGCTAATGCAGTAAAGTGCGTCTAGTGAGCAGGTGCTACCTCTCTAGTCTGCCCCGTATTTTACCGCTTCTTTATTCCTCAGGGACTGCAAGGGCATGTGCATCTGACATGAGTGCAGACGTGGTAAAGATGTCTACAGCAAGTGAAGCAGCGCTCTCTTCGGAGAGTACTCGGCCCTCTTCCTTCTCTCCGTCTACGACCTCTCAAATCAGTCCAGCAGGGACAATCAGGACAGCCTGCACTTTGCTTGTGCAACTGTGTTTGTTTCACCCACTTCGTTGTAGCTATGTGGCCGGATTATTTTGCCGCGCAGCCACCAGCAACACCATATGCACCAACAGCCCGACCGGTGCTTAATCAATTTCACCAGAACACCTGGGTACCGCAGTCACAAAGCTACCCAGCAATGATGCCAACTGGCATTGCTGCCACTCAGCAGCCCACACTGCCGACACAACCCACTACGATTCCTGTTGAGCAAACGCACGGCTTCCCCATGATGCCGTGTGGACACACTGCTCCTATTCCACAGCATCCAACGGTCTACACACATCTCAGCACACCACAACCCCAGATGCCACAACAACCTCCACCCCAGCAATTCATGTCACAACACCCCACCCCGTTCATGAACCCTGCTCTTTTGGCTACCCATCCAACAGCTTTTCCCATGAGCCCATCTGCTTTGGCACAGCATCAGGCCCAACCTACCACATTCAACCTTCCTTTTACACCACCTGCCCCACAACCCCAGCTTGCACCTTGCAACATCCCTCCCACACAACCCGTTCAACAATCCCACATACCGCCGCCAACAACAATCCAACAAGCTCCACAACCACACCCCACCAGTGTTCCCACTGCCGATGCTGCACACACTGCCCCGCAGACACCGGCAATGACGCCCCAACAACAACCAACAAACACAGCCAACACCCCTTCCGTCAATACAGTGCCACCCGCACAACCACCCCCAGATACGGGATCGGCAGACACTGACCAGCTCGCAGCACGTACTTCTCCCCATCACCCTCCGCTGCCACGCAGACGACGGCGCTCACCCACACGCAGCAGAACTCGCACCGTGAGCACTAGACGTCGACGACACACACGCAGCCGAGCACGACCTGCAAGCAGCGGCAGACAGCACCGCCGACGCAGACACCACCGATCCCGCGACACTCGCAGAAGCCGTTCTCGCAGGGACACCAGGCGACCTTCATCGACACCTCCTCGGACCTCGGTTGTGCTCCGCAGCTATTCTACAGTGCGTGATGATGATGCCAACAAGTGGCATTACAGAGCCACACAGCCACGTCAAAGGCCACCTACCCCACCCAAGGTCCCACAAAAAACATTGGCTTCGCAGGTTCAGCGCATCGCCCTTCGCATCAAGGGCAGCCAAGCAGCACAACAGCAGCCCCCAACAAGCCAGGGCACATCCTCGCGCCAACAGCTTCGGCACAATCCCCCCAGCTCTGTTCGGACACCTGCTCCGACTTTTGATGCATCCACAACTGCTGCCCCATCGGGTCAGCCAACCCTCGAACAACTGGGCAAACAGAGCAGACCACCACAGATTGACGTGGCGCCTTTCTCTGAGCTTTATGATCATGAAAAGCCGACACCCCACGCTGTCGACATGGAGGAAGCGCACAAACTCGCCAAAACTTTGGGCGAGATAGCTGCTGACAGCGATTTCAGGCAGGAGACTTTAGCCGAATTCGCGCATGCCGTATTACAGTCGGGCACGCGCTCAGCGTGCAACGAATTGGGGGCAACGCTGACGCCAATATCGGACGGCGTGCATACTATGTTATTCATCCCGTGGGCTGGAGAGACTCGCAGAGCATTCGGCACTCGTGCCACTGACCCACCAGGGGAAACATACATCTACACCGCCGGACACGGCACGAGCATTGCAAGTGCCGCACGCATAATGCGCGAGGACTTGGTCCGCCCAAGTTCAGTCAGCCATTGCTTCGACGACAAGTCCTATCCACCCATTCCCTCTTGC